TATTTCTATCATGAGATCTCTCTTTGAAGAGGTTGATGTTATTGCCACACCTGCAAATGGTGCAGTGGCTCCTGTTATACCTCCTGGGGCCAACTTAAATTTGGATATGGTAACGCCGAAATTTCCAGTAAAATTATGAGATTTTCTCCCCTTGCTAATTTCACTGGAATACCTGGAATCAGTATACCTGTTGGTCTTACTAGTGAAGGAAAGGGAGGAGGAGGAGGTCTGCCTGTTGGTTTTCTGTTGCAAAGTCACTGGAATAATGAAGGGTTGCTGTTACGTGTTGGTTGTGCTTTGGAGAAATGCATTGTAATGAAGAAGCCACCAGTTTACTATGATATTATTGATCTCATTGAAAATGAGAAGTAGAGACAATTCTTTTTATAGAAATAATTTTGTATTGGCATAATTTTTGTCGTGTTTTAAGTTAAAAATGCCTTTTTTTATTAATAGTTAATTTTTATAACTTGGGCGTGTCACTGAGCAAAGAAGCTCCTGTTCTCAAATCTGAAATCTCATCTAAATGTTCCTCAACATTTTAGCTATCATCACCACAATCTTCCTATGCACTGTTGCCTCTGGTGAGTCTTTTGACCAAATATATATAGTGTAGATCTATCTGTAATATTCTATATTCATCACCACTTCCATTCATTTGAAACATCTAAAAGTTATGGTTTTCTAGAAATGGTATGCATACAGATACTGACAAAAATAGATCTATATTTATTATAGATTTTACTACCAGTTACTAACTGGCTACTGTATTTCTCTGTTTACGGTCAAACACTGGGAATATGTAATCACCCCTTAAGACCACCATTTCCCAGAACTAGAGAGCAGTCTTTTAAAAGGAGGACAACTGTACTGATCAATGCCATGATTATCCAGTTTGATATACATCTATCAATTATCGGATATAATATTGCCCTGATTCTTCAAGTCTCAGTAGTAGATATCTAATACACCTACACTACAGAAGCTTGCCAAACCATAGATAGTATATAAACAATGGGTATTTATGTATATAATATGCATATAATCTGTAATATTATGGGCATTTATGGCCAAATCATGCTTTAAGGCCCCTATACACCAGGCAATGCTATTGAAGGCAATCTGTGGTTACTTTGATCTTCAGGCAACACTGTTCCCTAGAATAGAAACATGTTCTATTCTATAGGCAACACATTGCTTACAACATCAAAGTAACCACACATTGCCTGCAATAGAATTGCCTGGTGTAGAGTCAGCAACCTACTATCGCACACCATCGATATTCGAACACTTTTTCTCACAGTTCAGTGATCAGAAGGCAATGGCTATAATTTTATCTTGTAGATCAGATGTTCCTCTACAGCTGTAACAACTTTCATAGAGATCAGTCTTTGCTGTGTTTTTATAATAATTTTTTAGTAGAAGTTTCAAACACATGCAAGTTCGCATAGACGCCATGTATTGTCGTTTACCTATTTTCGCTAAGTAATGAAGTAACTGGCAAACAATTCATCATATTCATATGAAAGCCCTGTCTTTCTGCTCCATGATGCACTATTCAGTTACAAGAAAGAGCTAGTCTTCACCGCACTAGAGTTGATTCTTTGGAAGAAAAGACACACATCTACATTCGTTCAAATTTTACATATTTATTAATTTTTAAATAAAATTTAATTTTAAAAATATTAAAAATTTTCCTTTGCCCATTAGCTCTTAACAAAAAATTAAAATTAACAAAAATTTGAACGAATGTAGATGTGTGTTTCTCTTCAAAGAATCAA